GGGGAAGGGTAGTGAAGATCCAAAATGCTAATGCAAGAAAATGTTTAATTGTTTATACCATCTTCTTTGACAATCTCCGCTACGGATGGCTACGCAGTGGGATGGCGTATTAAGGGGTTCCGCGGGAAGGTGGGGGGGAGCATGCCCCTCCAAAAATTTCTCACCTATCCCCCAGGCGCCCCCAACAATCTCTGTCAAGTTGTTAAAAGCAGCCAAAATCACCTTACTTTGCGAGTTAGGGCCCCCTTAACTGACTACTCCCCCATCATCCCCCAACTTGAAGATTCCTGGTACGCCATGTCGTTACGGTACCGTAATGCTCAGGTTGAAAAGAAGCTTCCTGTATCATTTTGGTGGCATGATCTCTGCTACTACTGTACTGATAAGTTCGTGTTCTTCCCTAGGAGTCATGGGCGTCGTTCGGTGGGAGACAGGGAGGACACACCCCTACTAACTTTTCAAAGTAGGGGGTACATCATATCAATTATCCATCTTCCATTTAAAATGCCACTTTTCAAAGCGAGTGGAAAGAAAGAACAATACTTACGAATAGAATTATCATGAATTATCTGTTCACTTGTGCTCTGTTCCAAGTACGGTGCGTATTTCCGGACCACCCGAGTAAAACGCAATTGTTTGACATTCGCAACCATCTCAGTGACCACTCAATCGATTTTATGCGTGCAACGGTTATCAGAGATTACAAATTTATTGTGAAAACAATGTAATGTACATGGTTAAAATTGGAAGCGTGTAAACCTATTAGGTAGGCCTACTACTTGTCATCTGGCATGTTGTACTAATGGGTGCGACATTGAAGTTTAGCCTAATAGGTGTGGTAAAGGAATAATTTTATAAAGATGGTCGTGCGTGCATGCGTAAAAACCCACTGATTAATCTCAGATAAGATAGTATAATACATAGGCCCCTAGTTACTCCAAGTATCGAAATGCACGCCATCGTGTCGGGATTCAATATTTTGACATTAATTATGTCACCATTAGGAATGATGATGACATAATTAATAATAATTCCTAATGATGACATACCGGTAATTAATGTCGAAATATTGAATCCCAACACGATGGCGTGCATTTCTATACTTGGAGTATGTATTATAGCCTATTATTCTTGCATGCGTAAACTTACACGACCATCTTCAATATAAAATTGTGGATACGGCCACAGGTGGGGAAATAGACTGACAGAACTTGTAGTGTGATAGCCGAGCACATTATGGAAATAAGTTACTATAATAGGAAAACATGTACAGCAACACTTTTCAAATCCGGAATTAGAGTAAGAACAACCCACAAATACTCTGTTTGTAGGTCCTAACACGTCGCACGCTTAGTAAATAAAGTTGAATTGAATGAAAAGAATGGGTAGCAGGTCAAAACGGTAATGACCAAAACGGCAATTTGAACCAAAACGGTAATGAACCAAAACGGCAATGATAAGTACCAAAACGGCAATGACGTACTAAAACGGCTAGGCATAGCAAGGGCAGACCACAGTTTATAATTGTCTGAATCGTTTTGAAATTGTCCCAATAGGCAAATCGAATATTGCCGTGGGCTCTTTTTCCCGCTTTGAATGTTTGAATGTTTAATCGCGGTTTTTTACACATCTATGACGAATTATTTCGATGCTTCATTTTGTTTAAAGTGTTATTTAGACTTTACTACCACCACCACCACCATCACCATCACCATCATCATCATCATCATCATCATCATCATCATCATCATCATCATCATCATCATCATCATCATCATCATCATCATCATCATCATCATCATCATCATCATTATTATTATTATTATTATTATTATTATTATTACTGTTTCGCATTATTTTCGCACCTCTTCTATAAAGTTAGTGTGGTAGGCCTACCAGTAGTTACAGTAGAGGTACAATAGGCTACTATAAGAGGCTAGAGAAAAAGAGGCTAGCCATGTCTAACTAAAGCTGAGTTGGTCCTACCTAGGCCCCTCCCCTAGACTAGGCCCCCTAGCTAGTAGGGTCCTAGGCCAGGCACCAACAGTCACGCTTCACATGACATTGATTAAAATTGTGAAAATAATTGAAGTCATGAAAATTAAAAAATAGGACAGTAAGAAAAATAATATTAATTAAATAGCGCCGCCGCGCGGACGGCATAAAATTACTCTCCGAGGCTCGAGTTTGTAACTGTAATTCAGCTGTTTTGTGTTGGGATAAACAATTCTCTTTTCCAAACTTTTTGCGTGATTCCCATGCAGAGTGCTAGTGGTAATTCGTTTACATATAATCTCATTAGTAATTCATTAGAAATATTGCAGTCATTTATGTATTGGATAAATCGAAAATTGTATTCTAATCTTAGGCCTAACTACTACTACTAGTACTACTACTACTAGGCCTACTACTACTATGCCTAGCCTAGAGATCGCTACTTACTACAAGCTAACAGCCTAGGATAGTGCTTGGCTCCCCGTTATATATGTGTGTAAACGGAGTTATGCCTATTCGATTATTGATGAAGGAGGTTGATAACATATTCCTAGGTCTATGTACGTCCTAATAAAATTTGTGTTTCGCTCATAAATACTAAGAATTTAACAATCATTACATCCGGTTACGATTTATTCACATAATTGCTGTACATGCCAGTGGCCACTGCTTGGGATTGTTTTTTTAAATTTTCAATCATTGGATTTTTGGAATGATATGGATTTTTTTTTCTATCAATAAATAAGTGAACAAATAGGCCTAGGCTTCTAATAATGGCCTTATACTGTAATAGTTGGCAGTTGTGAATGAGAGTGTTTTATTTGCTCAAAAAGACCATAAAGTTTTTTTTTTTATTATTCTTAATTCTGATATTAAGCTAGAGTACTGTAGATTTTCATTTTTGTGAATATTTTTTTACAGTGAATTTACATCAGGGACAGAGTCAATGAGTAGGCCTAGGTGTTTTACTAATAATATGCTGCCTATTCCTTTTAATTTAATTGTTTTAATAGTTGTCATCAAGAGATGTATTGGGTCTTCTGGGAGACGATGTATTGCAGCAGCTGCATCAAAGCCTCAGCAGAATTCAAGCACAATCGTTGATAGTGACGCGTGCGCAGGCAATGATGTCAACGTCCTAGAATCAATCGTGAATCGTAATCCACGCAATTTGGAAAGAATGGCAGTGGCTCGCAAAGACAGAGGCTGGTTCTGTAGCGAACCAAAGAGGAGATATTGGCACAAGTAAGGACAGATTCCACTCCATAATTTATTAAATGACATCTTGTGTATGTTTTTCTGGTGAAAGGGAACTGCAGACTTCTACGGACGGATGTCCATTTTACCCTAATTACGGGATTAAACCAAATACTGCGGAAATTTATCACTAGGCATAGGCCCATAAATAAATAGGTCTACACATTGTCTAACATCCAGTACAAATGACTTTTCCATACAGCAAATTTTTATTTACTACAGTATTTGAAGACATGGTAAAAACTGGTCCCAAGTCTTCCGGAAATCGGGACGGCCTCCTGCAAGCAAGCAAAAATCTCTGAGAAAATAACCCATCTCCCATTTAAAAAAATTATTTAAAATAAGTGGAGAAAAAAGAAAATATAATCAAAGTCTGAGAGTTCCATTTCCGGCCATCTGATGCCTTAATCATAATTTTTCTTACCTCGCTTACCTGGGGCTGAAAGCTGAGGTGGTCTGCACCCTCTACCTGTAAAGTCCAACTCCTGGATCTGCCACTACTAATCTTCTGGAATTCACTTCTAACCTGAAATGGAGGTGGTATGAGGTGGTTTTTAAATAACTGAGTGTGCTTCAGACATTTTCAATTGGGGAAAAACTGTGGTACAACCTTTCTTTTGTGTGTAGGTGGGGGGGGGGGGGGGGGGGCGCCGGGGGGGGGGGAGAAGGGGTCTTGGATCTAAAATATAATAATTCACTTATATTTTTCAGATTATATTACATTACAACAAATAGACATGTAAATGCACACGTCGAACACTGTAGTGGGAACACCGTCGTCTCAGCTTCTACAATGGAATGGGCGATCAAAAAGCATCTGTACAGTACAAATGACGTGGTGGCCACGACTGCTGTTGGTAGGGTTCTAGCTCGTCGCTGTCTACAGTTTGGCATTAGCTATGTACACATAGACATCCCACAGGAATGGATGGCATATGAAAAGGTGACGTATGCACCTTACCTATAATTATAAAACATTCTGTGGCATACATTACATTCCAATTTAATCCATAATCTTAAGGTTACGTTCAATTTATGAATTTTTTTTACTATAATAGTACAATACTTTTTGACTAAACTCATTTTCTTTTCATTTAAAAAAATGTAAGACAGCACAATTAGGTGTTTGTTTTATCATTATTAGTGAAATATTAATCTGGGTAAACCGTATGTCAATTATTATTTTTTTCAATTTTTTCTTTTTCTTTCCAGATGAAAGCATTTCTCTCAGGATTAAAGGAAGAAGGTTTGATTCTCAACGAACCAAAGACGATTTTGGATTTTCGACCTGTTGTAAAGGTGAATTACTTCCCTGACAGTTTCTAACTCCTTGCTACAGACTCTTGCACACAATGTGAAAGCTGACCCTCTGCTAACATATTTGACGGCGCTTTGTGTGCGAGTTTGCCTGATGCAGTAACAATTGGTGGCAGATATTTTTTTCTCCCCACATTGCTGTCTTTTTTAATGGCTGCAATAGCAATACTATCAGTAGTAATTTTCATATTCCTTGACTTTGGCGTTGCTAGCATAACAAGCAATGTGATGGGGAAAATGTGACAGGCAAAATAAACCATCTTTCTTCTTCCAAAAGTACAGACAGGAAAGCTGTTTTTGCCTGGATAGAAATGTTAAAATTTTGTAAATAAAAAGATGCAAATCATGAGGTGATTTGTGTTCACTGTTTTTTGTTCTGTCATTCTGGAATGTCCAACTTCAAAAAGTACTGGTGAACTATACTCCAGGATCAGTTGAGGTGGAGGGTATGTTCTCCATAACACCAGCTGGTGTTACCACTGCACTAAATTTGTAAAGCAAGCATCTTTACCGTTAAAAATGACATTCTAGGAGACAATGGCAAACACAATTCTTATCTATTCTTATTCACTTTTCAATATTCGGTAATTTATTTTCATATACAATTTTGATGGCACAAAATAATGCTATTTTCCCCACAATTAAATGGCTTCTGTTTTTTGCATATACCAAGTATAACTTATTTACAATTCAGTGAAAGTGGAATCTAAATTTTTGTACAAAAACTACAATAACATGCCACTAGAACCACGCCTACGTACATGTATGTGTAACTACAGTACATCGTAAAATTAGACAGACGATATCAATAATCATCTTTATACCTTCTGGATCAATGATTATTATTTAAATCATTAACTTTTCAAATTTTTTCAGCAATTTTTCTTGGTTGATTAAAATCTACAAATTCTGCAATTACATTATCTGTGGCTTAAAATTAAAAAATTTAGGATTATCTTAATATTTCTTTCTATATTTAAACTTTACAACACTACATAATAATTGTCTAGTGATCAATATATGAGATTTGACTAAAACAAATATTTCAACATAAACACTTACATTATAAAGTGGAACCAGGAAGCTGTACATATTAATAATGATTATTTAAAATAAAATATTGAATCATAAACACACAGTTCATTACATCTGTTGACATTGCATTAAAACTTCTCAATGTTTAGGGAGGCAACAGATAGAAACATACAAGATATGAAAGGAGATGGTGTCTGGTAAGAACAAAATGGTTCCTGAGATTGGTCTGGGAAATGAGCAAAATTTCAATAAAATTAGGACAAAAAAGGTGAAAAACAAGGATAACAATTTAAAAGAGAAGTATTTTATGGTGACTTCTAGAAACACAAGTACATAGGTAAATTAAAATAATGATAAAGTATCAAGTGCAATAAGTGAATTTTTAGCAAGGTTTTATATAGACTGATAAAATTAAATGGAATTCACAAACTACAATAAAGCAGGCAAGTACAATACACGCAAGTCTATCAACCAAATCGCTCTCTTTCAGCATTTTTTTTTAATTAATTGCTTCAAAAAATTTGGAAGGATGCCAGTCACATGACAATACATCATACCATGTCATGTGACAGCATTTCACATGGCATTAGGAAACCAACTGCTTGTATTAGAATCCTTGCTTAATTCTGGCCAGGCAAGCTCAAGTAGTTTATCAATATTAAAATGCAATTAATTACTTCCTTTTTAAAGTAAGCAACACTGATCACACAGTAAACCATATTACAAGAATATTATAATTTTGTATGTTTGCTTTATCAAAAATTAAAGTAATACCATATGACAGGGGGATATAATTAACTATCAGCATGACATTTATAAATTAAAAAAATGACAAGTCAATTTTATTTAAGCAATTATGATTGCATAAATTACTTTGTAACATGATTGTGCGCAGTAATACATTTAGGATGCATCATTATTATAGGATGTAATACTAAATAGGTTGTAATAAAAAAATCTTAAATAAAACATGGCTTTCATCAAGTAACTAAGATAATGCTAATAAAACTATAGTATACAAAATAATACACCAATCACATATTAAAACACAGTAAGTACTCTCATCAAAACAAGTAAATAATATAAGATAAAACAGATCAGTTTTATGTGGACATTCAACAAGAACTGTAACATAACATTTCGGTGGTATTTGTGAATAAACCTAACATTTCTCATACTAAAGTATTTGTTATAATCGTAACTAATTCCTGTATTGATTACTAATAAGTTAGTGATTGCACAAAATGCTGGGGTGGTGGGCAGGTGGCATAAACTTAAGAAAAGATACACGATTTAATGGCGGTAACTATTGAAGCAATTCATATAATGATAGACTGTACATTGGGACTCATTTTGTGTTCAAATTATAGCAGTTAATGAATCACTTAGCTACAGCATCAGCAAGTCCAACTATTACAAAGTTGAACTAAGAAAAAACTTTTTTCTTCATATTCCAGGATTTAAAATTTTTAACATTACAAATTTTGTTAGAATACTTTCCGATAGGACATATAAAGAGGTGTAGAAACAATGGCGTATACTATTTTTACCGACATACCTAAATATTAAGCTACAGTTTTTATTTTAACGTGGAACGCTGTAGCACGCTCTTTTAACCAAGGTATAACGTACCGTACGTATGTACTCTACAGTATACCGTATTAAAATCGCATGTTTATTACGCAAATAATTTCATAGAAATATTTTTTAAAAGGTGCTGAAAGAAAATGAGTCATTACAGATAAGATGCACAAATGTTTTCTGTTCTTTGACTGATTGTCAACATTCTGGGAAATCTATTTTTGATTTGTTACAACTACTGTACTCAAGTTGAGAAGAAATTTCATCAAAACTATACCATTGCTGTTGATGATAATGATGATGATGGTGATGATGAAACAATTTATAAAATATTTTGTAAAAAAAACCCACTGATTGAGCCCTTCACAATTTAAAACTATAATTTCAGTTGCTTATAAATTGTTAATGATTTTTATTGGCTGTGTTTATGCAGGAATTGAAATATTATCCAATAAAAAATTTCCTACAAAAATACCCCAACTGCTGGATATTATAAACCACAATTCAAATTTACTTCTTTTGGTTGTACATTTGAGCTCTGGTTAAACCAAACTCTAATGGGAAACATAGTAATGAATAGTAAATATCACTACTAAATGAGTTAACTTCACTGCATGACATTTTTAGGCATTTTTTTTTATTGTTGATGTAGGAAGAGGAAATATGTGAATGAGATAATTAACAGAGCATTGTAGGCGAGTTGAAAGCCTAAATTTCTGCACAAATTTGATGGGTTACGATTAAGTTTGTGATTGGATAATGGTGTGCTGCGTAAACACCGCCTTACGTGAGACAAGGTGACAAGTAATAAGTAACAATTTGTAGATCTGGTGCTCGCTCTCTATGCTAAACAAAAATAATAAATACTACTGTTATTATTATTATTATTATTATTCATTATTACTATTTACTTTTTTCTATAAATATCCTAAATCTATATTTCCTCTAACACAGTGGTACAGCTGTCTGTGGCGAAGTCTTGATATGTGTGTATTTTAAAACTCTAAAACTCAATCTCTCATTGCTATCAATAAAACTTGGTTTGATTGATTCTGGCTAGATAAATATCAAACTGTAAGATAAAACATTCATATACTTTGTCTGTTACAGTAGGCCACCTATTTTTAATTAAATTTCAAGAGTGTTTTTGTGTTTAAATTCCACCACCAAAATTTACCTTAATTTTTCTAATATATTCACCTTTGAGCAATCTATTGATAAATGACTGATAAGTATTGATAAGTACCTATCGTAAGTTTTCCAAGTTTACACACAAAATTTTTCTTTGGCTATCTGCCCCCTGTCTGGTTTTTTCGACCTAGTCTTTCGTTGGATGGTGATGACACGTGCCGAAACCGACTGCTGCCAACGGATGCTGTCAGATCAAAATGATCAAGTTCCGTCGGAGATTGTAAAGACGACAAGGACAGAGACGACATTGAGCTTGATAAACTAACGTTTGTTGATATTGTTAATAAACTTGAAGGATTGGATTCATCTGGTTCCAACTCTTCTCCTGGGATACACGTTGAAATTATCGTCCTTAAAAGCTTTGTAAAAATTTCAGCTTTCTCTTCAAGCTGACCACACTGTAAAAAAAAAAATCAAGCCAAGATATTCCAAAATTAATTCTAAAAAAATGTTTTGTTTGAAAATCTGGGTTGGCAGGGTTTGTTGATTTACTTCTAGAGGCACCACTCTTGCATTTTAATTGGTAAAATATTAACAACAGGAATAAAAATTATGGTTTAAAGGTACCAAAATGATTAATTAAAACTTATTACCTAATAAAAATAACAGCTTAATTCCAACTAATCTTTTTTTGTTAAGCTCTTTCCCGATAATCACTACCTGTTGTAGGTGTTTGCCCATATATAGTCATGATGTGATGTCATCATTTGTTTTTTTATTAACTGTTTCAGGCTGAAAGTCAAAGATTGCCAAGCAGTGAACTTAGTCACTATTCAAATTGGCATTTCCCTTCACAAGACAAACATAAACACAAGATGCTCTACATAATGTAAGTCTCATTATGAGGGTTAGGGAGTGGAGTTGTTTAGGTCATGAGAAAAAAAATCCTGTTACCATGACAGGAATCTTAGCCACCAAGGTAAAGCTCTACTCTATCATGACAATATTTAGACATATCACATAATTTGATAGCCAGAACAGGGCTTGACAACCTGAATTATGATGGCTTGAATCGTATTCTTCTGCATTTGTTCCATACTGTCTTGTGTACAACCAGAAAATTTTAAACTCTTTAAAAAAAAAACCAATCCTTTAAACTTGATTTACATTTAACTTTTAACTTACATGTGAAAAATGGCCAGAAAACCTCCAGAGACCTCCAAAGCCCATACCTAAAAAATTAAAAAAAAAATTAAAAAAAAAATGAAGGAAGTTTTTAATTCATGTTAAAATGTAGTAAACATAATAAAAAATTACACAAGTGAAACAGTAAAATATAGGTTTTTTTTTTAGAGACCTTAGTCAAAAACTCTATTAGAATATCAATTATATATTCATACTCACATGGAATGTTTTGATTGGTCCAATTTAGGTAGTTACACAGGGGTGTAGCTAACATTATTATTTCAAGTTAATTTTATCAACAAGTGATATAATGGATCTTTCCGGAGTGGCACTCAAACTCAACAACTGAGCAATCAGAATAGAACCAGGAATATGCATGTGTCCAACAAACACGTGTGACGCAAGTGCCTGTATAAGTTTTTACAATGTCATTATTCGGAGGCTTAGCAACAGTATCCAAGGGGCGGGGCCTTAGCAGAAGGTTCCATTGATCTGTGTTTTGTACTTACTCTGTAACATAGCTAAGTGATGATTGGCCGAATCATCACAGGCCGTACTATTCTGTATGATACATTGGACAGCTGATAAAGTGGCACCATCTGGAAACTCCTTCAATGCTGTTACTATTTTAGACCCTAACAAATTATGCCTGAAATATGATAAAAATAAAACAATTGAAATAAAAATAACACAAAAAAACTTGGCATATATTGGTTAATTCAAGTATGTATTCATGTTAGCTATGTTCACACACATAATATAACAGTTAACAACATCCAGATTAATAACATACATGCTCATGGTTGTGTTCATACAAAAAAATCCCCCATCCAGATACCAAGAAGTTGATTGTGGGATTACTGGCCAATAGGAAATTGAAAATGCGTACGTCTGATTGGTTAATGATACAAATTAGGTCAATCAACCGTTGTGTATCCACTTCCTGTGTACGGTTAGATCTAACCGACGGGGCGTTCTTACGCATATGGTGACAGATCGGTCTCTCGATCTGGATATTAAGGCCCTAGTGTTAAACTAACTAAAAAGATCTTTCAAATCTTCAAAAAGTGTGAATTTTACATGAATTCTAAGCATCTAAAACAAATACTAGTGCATTAGATTTTTTTTATATATAAAGTATAATAATATATCACATAATTTATGTTCTATGTTAAAAAGCATTGAAAATTCAATAACAGAGAAAATGTAAACTAAAGTTAGTTGCTCAGAAGTCTACTCTCTAGATTTCCAACAAATATTTGATCTAGACTTTAAAACTAGAATATTTAAAGAGAAGTGAAGTTCTAGCCAGAAAACACTTACTTTTATCTGTCAATAACATAAGATGTTTTATCTGTCAAGTATTCATACAATTTACAAGAAGAACTTATGTGTTATACTTACACAATGGGGAAGACCTTAGGGAATACTTGACTTGCCTCAGCCAGATACTCAAACAAAATACGTGCTTCACTCTCGTTGGCATTACGCCCAAGGGTGGCCTGTTTCAACAACAAAAATGGTTAACGCTTGAAGATATAATGTAAATCGATCAATCATTCAATCACACTATCATTTAAGTGTTATTAAAGAATGTTTTATTCATCAAATTCACAGTTGAAAATGAATTACACTGGTGTTAACATTAGGAAGTACAATAAAATACAAAGAGTAATCAAGCAGCAATAAAAAACAAAAAAAAAGTACACACATTGTAAAAATACCAATTAGAAAACAATAAATAAAAAATTACATAAATACATGAATAAAATGTAAAACAAGGAGAAAAAAGATTGCACAAGACAATAAAAAAGCAGCACAAAAAACCAGGCAACATTTGTGTGATTTGCTAGATATGTTGGCAAAATAATGTCATACCGCTGGGGTGGATGCAAAATTGAGGAGGGGGGAAGGATACAGATGGCGCAATCGCACCCCATAAATTGTATTAAGAAAAATAATTGTTGTATTGTATTGTTGATATGAATTACCGGTAAGATTTTCAAGGTATGAGAGTACAATTTCTGGGCACCTAGCGTCCATATTCTCAAAATTTTCTCACCTCAGCCCCAACCATGATCGACCTGAGGTGGTGTGAACTCTTACGCACCCCTTACCGCCAAGTCTTGCATTCGCCCCACTGCTATGCCCATATATAGGCAAATCACACAAGCTTGTCACACAAAACTTGATGTTTGAAGGATATTATACACTACATTTTAAAATAAAGCGATTCTGAGAATTTTAACCAGGATTGTAGACTATAGTCGTATTAGGTTCAGGACACGACAATTGGAGCGGTTTGGCACTTTGCTCTCTCCACCCAAGAGCATCAGTGGGTACCTGGTATGTTTAAACACAAAATGCACTGATTACAGCTGCAACATTATGGAATTCTTCCCAGGGAAGAGCTTAGAGGCCTTGTTAGCATAAAGCGCTTTATAAGACTAACATATTATTATTATTAATATTATTATATAATTATTATTATATAAGATAAGAATTGAAATAAAGTTTAAATTTATATTAAAAGTTCACAGTTATATAGTAGTTACATTTTTTTAGTTACTTACCAGCACAGTAAGGAGAAGCAGCCTTGTTTCATAATCTGTGAGCACATCTTCATCTAAGAGCACATTATCCGTGGCAGTAGATATTCTTCGCACCGGCTGTGGATGCATGTTCCGTTTTGGCTTCACATCCAGATTCGGAAGATGCGACTGTCCGTAATCAGGAGGTTTCAGGTTGCACGGTGGGTAGACAAGCTTGTGCGGTTCCATCATCGGGGGTCTGGGACGTGGGATGAATAGACCCGTTGGGTCCGGAGGTGAAGGTTGGGGTGAGGTAGGTCTTGGGTATGGTAATGGCGGATGAGGATTTGTGTTTACTATGAAGACCGGTCCCATGTCATCTTCAATGGGGTCAGGATGGCGGTGTTTGGTGCTGCAGCGACTCCTTACTTCGTCAGACACTGGCAATAATGCTATGAGATATGCTATACTCTCATTGCTCACTTCAAACTTGTCACTACGGAGACAAAATAAAGTAAAGAGACGTGTCAATTGACATTTAAAAAAAAACCTCTAAAGCATAATCTTTTTACAAATTACTTTGCTCCTCTTATTTAAACTCAAAAACTGATTAACATCTTCCTCCTCAAAATTGTTTTCTTTTTTAGTAGGATAGGAAAATCAAATACCATTTTCACTTGAGCTCTGTGAGTTCTGTTCCAGCGAGCTCTCAATTATGGGAGCAATAAAGTGCTAAAGACCAGAGCAGTGAAAATGATTCCTCTACGTTTAGTTGGTATTTTTTTGCTGACTGTTAGGATATTTTATGGTTTCATTCCATTTCTTGTGTTTAATTTGTGTAAGCGCTCAGAAGCATTGTTTTGTATTAAGCGCTCTATAAAATTAACATTACTACTGTTATTAATATATTCAATATACAGTATACAATCATTTAACTATTATTTTTGTATCAATTTTTTATACGAAATAATGCAAAAAAAAAAAAAAATGGGTAATAGAATAACTATTAATAGGTTTTTTTTCCCCAACATTCTTGAAACACAGGATTTTAAATTAAATGTAATGCTTTAGTTTACAATATTTACAATAAAAAAAAACGATAGTTGAGGATCTGGGTTTACTATGAAGACCATCCCATGTCATCTCCGATGGTCTCAGGATGGCAGTGTTTGATGCTACAGTGATCCTTACTTGTCAGACACTAATGATTAATGAACTAACAGTTAATGTACTGATATTCACTTATTACCATCTGCTATTTATAATGAATATTATATGGTAGAGAAGGAGACTAAAGAATTGTAAAGCATTAAACTTACCAATTCCTGTATTTAGCAATGCAGGCCAACATTAGGTTAAGTACTCTCATTGTCCGTGAGACAGCAGTGTGACTTGGATGTCGAAAACCTGCAATCATAATCAATCAATTAATCATCAATGAATTACTCATTAATCTGTCAGTCAATGGACCTTTATTCTAAGCACCCCCCCCCCTTGGATATTGTTGCTAAGGTCCCAAAAACAACAGTGTCAAAAAATACGCAAATACATGCGTTTGTGGGACAACATGTGTGTTTGTGAGGCATGAGCATATTCCTGGCCCTGTTGTGATTGGTCAGTTGTGAAGTTTGATTGACCCTCCAGAAAGACCTACTAAGCAATATCAGGCACTCAATATTATGCAATTATAATTAGTTCTGAGGACACTATGAAAAATAGAAGCCCGAGGAGCTATTATTCCCTTAAAAAAAAAAAAAAATGCCCTCAGGGCTTTGTTTAAGCCTTCTGGCAACGTCAAACAAAAGATATCGGCCAACCTATCAAATTATTGGCTGCTCGAAGACAGGAAAATTATGTTGAAAATGATGATGTCAAGATTGACTTATAATAGTAATACAATCAGTCAGTTAATCATCTATCAGTAAATCAATCAGTCATTATTAAGTCAAATAGTTACATAATTAAAATAATTCACTTGCAGTTGTTGCTTTTTGCACTTTGTAACCACTAGGTACTCTAGAAATGCAAAATATTATATTTACTGATATCTATATTCATAGAAATATGAAGAGCAAAATAACGAAAATAAGACCAACCTTTGAGTAAATGTCCAACCATGGCAAAATGGAAGTGTTTTTTGAAACTGAGTGCAGCTGTCCTATCAATGTTATCAAAATAAAGCTGCAATGATTCACGCTCTCTGGCTTTAAGGAACACTTCTTGAGGACACTGTCAGACAAAAAATTCAATAAAAGTAATAATACAATATTCATAAATGAGTCAAATACCTGTTTATTAATTTTAAACATTTTCATTTATTTCATTTCCAAATTACTAACAGTGAACTAAAACAAAAGTAACAGTTGTAGCAACAGCAGCAGAAACAACAGCAACAATATCAATAATACAATTTTTAATCGACTCATAAATGTTTTATCATTCTTTTACGTAATTTTTATCAATTTATTTAATCGTGTTTAACATCTGTGTATTTAATATAATTTTAATTTATTTTGGTCTTTTTAAAATTTATTTTGACCTTTCACTTTTTTTACATTTTTGAATGTATATATTTTTTTTTATATTATAGCTAAGTATGTAGTTAAGTTTAGTTTACTGGGGCTCCAGACATTTTTTTATGGCGTTTTAGTTGCCTCAAGGCACTTGTTATGTTTTACACGTTCTTTTTGTGCCTAGAATACTGTTGCCAAGGCAACAATAATGGATCACTTTCCCCACCTAGTGCTAGGCGATACTCTGCCAGCAGGCAATACCAGATGATCAAAGACCATATGATCTCAGTCTCAAAAACAGTAAAACCAACAGCAGCAGCAGTGAAACATCACCAACAACAATATAAATAGTGTGTCTACAAATTATGATAAACTCACCTCATTTTCAAAAACTCCTTGCTGGTCAAGTTGCAGCAGATTTTGTTCAAGGAGTGCCATTCCAGCTGAATATAGAGTGACCTCATCCAACTGAAGCACAGAGATGGCTATCCAGAAGAGAAGTCGATGTAGTGGAGATTCCTGTAATATAAAAAAAAATAAGTGCTTAGCCAATCAACAGAGGCAAGCACCTCAACAAAGACATCAAGTGCTTAATTAATCAGACATGGTAAATTGTTAGCTAATTAAGGAAGTGCTTAGCCAATGCATTAGAATTAAATGCTTACTTTATAGCTAATTAAACCGGTTAATTTAATTGACCATTAAAACAACTAAATGTTTAGCCAAACGAGTTACACATTCTTAGCCAATGGTTACATTTCAGGAGCATTTGAGAGATTTTCCAATAAAAGCAAAAAAACTAAAGGCAAAAAATAGTGATTTATGCTTTATTTATGATGATTTATGGTTTATGCAACTGCTATAATAATGTACTGTACGCATTTGGTTAAAAACAGGTTATGATTGACTGCCATTTCGGTTTTAACTCTTCTATTACGAAAGTTTTTTAAAGAAACAATTCATATGAGATTAGAAATGCCTGAGAATGTGCAAGAACACTTACTGGTGGTAGAAGTGGCTGTAGTCGAGTGAGTGCGATCACTATAGCCTCAATTAAGCCAACATTGCTGGATTCCTGTGGGTTAATCTTGTCCAGGGCTTGGGCCATTATCTTTAACAGGTACTTGACCTCTGCATTGCTAGTGGAATTGCTTATACAGCCTAGAACTACCAATGCCCTGGGCTGAATCGCTGGGTTGTACTGGAACGCAAATCTGATAAAAAATTATAAATGATAATTAGTTATGCCTATTATTTTTTCAGTTTTCTATACAACTAGTAACCAGATTCGTGTCATGTATTTTGCAATATTAGACTAAAATTACATGAATTTAAGACTATAAATTTCATTTTGTTGCTTCCCTCTTCTGTCTTTTAATGTCCTAGTGTAGCACTAGGAAAAACATCACAAAAGTACTTAAAGTGCATGTAATATAAAGAAGAAATAATAGAAAATATATTAAAACCAATAACTTACTTTCTTGTCAGCTTTGTCCAGTCGTTAAGCCAATTACAGTTTGGAATGTCCTTCATACAAGCCTGCATTTTCATATATAAAATCACACAATAACAACATTTTCAAAAGTTTACAATTAAAAACACATTTTGCTCTGCTGGTAAGCTAAAAATGTGAAAAGAGAATGAGGATGTTTGTATGGATTGCAGCACGCTAAGAAAATGTGATTTCATTTTCTTCCACCGTAAAAGGAAACTTGGAATTTTTCAGGCTCTACAGGCAGAATTATACACAAAATATATTTATAGATATAGTTAAGTTTATTCAGGCAAGAAATGTCCTCAAGTGAGTTATAAAATAAAGATTTTACTAGTATTATTTTTTCATTCATTTAAAAAAATTATCACTATTATTATATAGGGGGCCTACTGATGAAAGTTGAATATCTAATCAAAAGGTTGAATTAATTAATAAGATAACTGACCTCTAGGATTTCAAGCAGCGTGTCTGTGATAATTTCTAAATTTGGCAAAGGCATGGAGTCGCCCGTCGGACTGTACGGCTTCTCCTTATAACTGGAGCGAAATGCTGTCACTGCAGCAGACTTGTCTTTGTCGAGACCAAAGAGGTCATAATAATGTGGCAATGATAACTCCGTCAGGCTCAGCTGCAATACTCGTATTGTGTCTCCTGTAAAATAATTAATACCAGAGTCAAATTTTTGAGCTGGCAAAAACTGTAGTGTTTCAGTTATAGTACCCAAGTATATTCATTCATTCTGTTTTATTATTAAGACAACAAAAATTGACATTGCAGTATTGAATTGAATCGTGTCAATCTAACAAAGATAAGCTAAAACAAACATTCACAAAACAAAGCACAACAGTATATGTACATGCAAAAGGTAATAAATATAAAAATTACATAAATCACAAAAGACATGAGTAATGATAAATTCAAGTCAAATTAACAAAATTACGATAAAATTGATTCCTAAAAAATATATCATTAAAAATAAACATTAAAATTACTATTAAAATTGACAAAATTAGTTACTTTATTATACAAATCAACAGTAATGATGGTAGTCAGGGTGAATTACTTACTTGAATGGGTTGGAATTGAAAACAAAATGGAATCATCCACCCCAGCCCAGTACTGTATATGTAATTGATATGCATTATGTACAGTAGTCATCCTCATTTGCCTTGAGACCAGTGCCGATCTTGGCATTTGGAGGGTGGACTATTATCCAGGTAAGTACCTCACTCAAGAAACTACCAATTATGCAAGCTTACCTGGATGAACCAACGAGTGAATTGAGCTCTGCACAGTTAGCTAGCGCTCTGAGACTTTATTTTATAGAGCTCTTTAAAAATGCTTGTTTATTATTATTATATTAGTGTAGCAGAATGATAAAACTGCAGTCAAAGCTGGCAAGATCAACAAAGGCTATAGTTTGGTTCATTGCGGTAAGTACTCACAAAATATAAGTATGTTATGCATGTATGAATGATACTAAGGTTGCCAGATATCCAATATGAATCACTTACCGGTAAATTCTAGTTGACTGCAAGTACACAATGAGTGGATAATATTTGTGACTAGTCCGTGGATAGACGCCCTCAACGGTGGTGGCCCAGTAGATGCTAACATCGTTGTAATGTGGAACAATGCTGGAAGATTGTTTGCCACTGAAAAAAAAAATTATACATTATATTAACATCATTATTACACTGTACTAATTATGTTTATTATTTTGCACTGATTAGGTATCTTCTATTAGATAATATAATGACATGATAAATTTAAGTGTTTTCCTAATAAAGTCGGTGAAAAATTAACTGTTTTGATCTCTGCTTTAGCGGAAGTTAATAAGCATTACGTTTTGCTCACGCTTGCGCAAGAGCTAACACCATCAAATTGGAATGCTAGATTGTTCGCTGGCAGGTTTAGTACTCTAAGTAGTGCTGCGGTGAAATAGTGTAACAGGTTTGTTTGACTTTTTAGTAGACAATCTACAAAACAAATCATTCAATATTTACTGAACACTTCAAGATAGAAAATAAAAATTATAGGTTAATTTAATGAAATCATAATTAACTTATAGATAATATTATTGTTGTTATCATTATCAATATTATGAAATACTTACCATCTAATCTATTATTGAATGACAACATCAGCAGGTACCTGGCCAGGATTGCTAAATCATTCCACATCAGATGCATCTCAAGATTCGGTGTTGGTGCATTACATGTTTTCTCCAGAACCTTTCAATGACATGTCAATCATAATTCAATTAATATTACAGACATGTTTCAGAATTTACATCTATATTTGACCACTCATATACAAAAACACACACACATACACGCTAAACATAAAAATTCACATTAGGTTACATCCTGCACTATATTATCAAGAGAAAGATAGGTGTTTGTGTACTCACCTTACAGAGTCTTTCGATGACCTTTGCAGAGAAAAGTTTAACGTTTGCAGAGGCTAAAGCAACAGCTGTCTCAGCCATTACTTCAGCCCTTGGCGAACCTAGGCCTCCTGTTGCACTATTCTATTAAGACAAGGAAAAAAAACAAATTTTAAATACGAAAATATTATTCTCAATAATTACATTACATTCAACCACAAGCGCCTTAACTTGTATGTATTATTTATTTATTAATTTTGGGAGAAGTTTTGACTCAGTGGTTGTGGTTCAAATCTTGTACTATGCTGGGATTATTTCTCACAATTAATAACTCTACTCCAAAGGGACTGAAAGACTTAAGAATTGTCTACACTATCAAGACAAAACCTGTGATTGGCTCATTAATATGACATCATCGTGCCCATATATGGTAAGAACAGAGGAAATTTGATAGCAAGGACAGAGCATTAAATAATTATATCCTGTTATTGTTAAAATTATTTCCCATGTCTAAACTTTGTTTATTCTTTTATGACAAAAACTGTAAGACACATATAAGTTGATCCTTTGATATTACTGGATGAATGTTGTTGCTGTTGTGTGTGAAACAAATATAACATAAATGCACACTTACTTTAATAAAACTGTCTAGGACATTATCTAAGATGTCTTCAACTTGACCAATTGTACCCCAGATCTTGGCTTGGATTGATGGGTACATCTCCTTCTCATCTATCGTCATGGTAATCAGCTTGTCTAGGATGACGTTCAGCCTCATTCTCTTTGTTTCATCCGTCCTCTTACAGAACCTTTCATTCAAAAAATTAAGAAAAATATATGAGCCTGGATAATGATAATAACTATAGTAATGCTAATAATAGTCATTCATTTGTGTGCAAGGCACTTCATGGCTTCAGTTTATCCAGCTGTAGCAATGGGTACCAGCAAATTGCTGAGAGTAACCTGCGGTGGACCAGCATCCCACCCAGCTTCACGCTACACAAACTGGGGATGCTTTAGCCTTATGAGCCGTAAGTGGCTCAGCAAGGATTTATATTTTAATAAGAGTAATAGATCCTTATATCTTACTGTAGTAAAAAATCATTACAAAATAATTCATCCAGAGAGGGTCCATTCCCCTTCACTTCCCGCAGTGCCTCATGATCCTCCCATGATAATAGGGAGATTTTGATAGCACGAACCGACAGAATCTAAAACGTCACTAATATTTCATCTGCGCATGCAGGAATGTTAAGTTCTCCTTGTCATGTGGATTCTAGGATGCAATTTGGTCAAACCTATGTTGTGTAGAGAACGTAAGACGGTCATGCATGAGTGAATCCATTCTAGAGTCACGTCATCGCGCAAATCAAAAGCTCCCTAATATATTTTTGTATTATGCCCTTTCCAGACTATCAAATTTTACCTCATAAAATCATGTGACATGCCTCAATATGGACATAAAATCACATCATGAGCATATATAGGAATATCATAGGAACACTTTTTTGTCAAAGGAAATTTGGCAGTCTGGACTAAGTCTTACCTTGAGAGGTTTGGTAGCCAAGGAGTCATGTACTCCAAACACAGGTGTTTCATCTCAATACTTGACTTACGAAACCCTGAGATACATTCTTCCAGAAACTAAAAAAAAAAATATATATACATGTATTTTGTGCTAATTGAAATACTATTTAGGTACACAAAAATGATAAAAATTGTTGATTTAAAAAAAAAGTCAGATAAAACAATATCCGACAGACCAACTTTTAATAGAATACACCTAATAAGATATACATCAATGTTCTGGTATTTTGGTGATGCCCTACAAACAATAACGTTGACAATATAGATATTTAACTACTTCTATACTTGTCAAAGCCTGTGCCGCACCTGGACGAGGATAACTGCAGAATTAGTATATTAAACTGTGTACAGTATGTACAACATTATTTAGTGAAAAAATCTGAAACAAACCTCTAAAGTAAGATGACTCTCATTGACAGCAAGTGTGGTACTGATGGACACGATAAACAGAGTATTATTGGCAGGGATGCACAGACCAGATGTCTCCAGAAGCTGCCCTTCCATTGACAGATCAAAGCTTGCTGACAATGTGCAGAGCAAGTTGTATGCCGCTGAGCGTAAACTCGGGTCGTTGCTACCCAAGTTGAGAAGTGCCATGTTGAGTAGCGTACCGGGCACGTCTGTCGGCCGAATCTTAGGATGGTCCGAGGCCATGTCCTGGTGGAGATTCATGATAGTACATTAACTCACATTGTCTTGCTACCTTATACAAACTTGTACAGTTTATTCTTATAATATTACCAATTTTCTACCAATGTATAAGGCCACAGTTGTATTCCTTTTATTTATTTACTTCATTTCAAACAACATGAACAAATCCAAAGCTCTCGATAATAACAAAATTACACGCGACATTTATCTGACATTTGCAAATGGGCTTGATGGTGTCATACCATATCCATATATGGTAAAATTGTTAATAATTATTACAAAAAACTTAGTGAACAGAACTAAAGCCTGGTGCATCATGTGACAGTTAAATTAAAGATGGTGGTGTTTTACCTCCTTACAGAAGACAATGAACATGTAATCACATGTCCCAACATAGCAATAGAGGTGTCACATGTAGCCGTCATGTGACTGTAGCCTGGTTTCCTTAAAACCGCTACACTGTCGCTACAGTGTTTTACAGCGCTATTGCCTTACTGCGTAGCGGTACCCGATACAATCGGGAAGTCTCCCCAACCAATTAGCATCACTAAATGCTGTCGGCGATTGTGTGTAGCAATTGTATGGAAACCAAGCTTTATTAACATAATGATGGAGATGTCTTACCGATTTAGATATTTCATATTTGTTTTTGATTTGTTGGATTGCCTGTGCTACCACAAGGCTGTTGGAATGGTAGAAATGCAGACTTCTTCCTTCATTCCGCAATGAAAGCTCAAACTGGTTCTCGTTCTCAACTAAAATTATCTGCACACATTTTTAAAAATAAAATATAATATGGATTTTGTTTACACTAATTTTTAAATATTTGTTTTCAAGTCAATTATTGTTCATTTCTCTTGATATTTTTATAATCTGAAAAAAAAGCACTCAGATAGCAGGAAAGAAGATTTTTACGAAGCAGGAACTGTTATAAATAATAAATTTATAAATGCTTATTTCTTAAATTAAGTCAAAGTGTTTGACATTTTTTTTTTAGTTATTTAGACATTTAATTGAAAATATTAACATGATAAATACGAAATCAATTTGTACCTCACTAATGTCAGTTACTTGATAAATATCATTAAGAAGAACTTGATGTGCTAACAACTTTGTCTTCTCAGTTGATGTAACTTGAATTGCACTTTGTCCCACCTAGTAAAAACAAATTGAAACATTACTTATAGTTACACAAATCAGAAGTGATGTTTACAGTCTATGAATGACTTTTTATTTGTATAAACAGACTATTGCTAATATTTTCTCAACTACAACACCTAAAAAATAATAGAAATGTCTGTTCAAGTTTGCACACATGAGGCATGTTGTGGCAAAATGGCTAAGTTGTAGCTAAAATTTAAATTCAAGTTATTGATATTATTTTCAGATACCTCAGTGCTTAGTATGTAATCTGTGAAGTGAAAGGTCATTCATTGAAATTGGACATTTCAAGCCTTACAGTAGTTTATTGGGGAGTAAAAGTAAACAATATAAACATGTTTTTGAGTAATTGCCTTCCAAAGCTATTTGTGCATACATTGTTTAATAGAATTAACTACCAAAATAACATTAAATAAACAGTTTATTGATCATTTCCAGAACTAAGACTTTGGACATGATTACTCTAGACATTAAAATGTTGATCTATAGTGAAAAAAATATGGATTTTTAAATCATTTTTGAGCTCCCATATTTCAAAGCTCATTTAGTCACTACTGGCCTGTGTGACAAACTTAACCCTTTGCCGTGACATGCCTCACATATCCATGCTAACTACAACATTGTCATCCTCATTTCATTTTCATGCAATGGGATGATTACTCTTATTTTCAATGGGTGTTCTATTTAAGGAAACAACGACAATACAGTTGGTTTGTTCTGGTACGTACTCATGAAATAGAAATCATTAAAAAAAAAAAAATTCCTTCAAAATCCAGGATGGAATGATGCTTTATAAAGAAAGTCTCTTACTGAGGTCTGGGAGCGGAGTCATTTTCAGTCGTGAGAAAAGTCCTACTGTGACAGGTATTGAACCCAAGAAGCTTGGAGTAGAAAGCAAGCATCTTAACCACTAAGCTATCCAACTCCATTCAAACCATTTTTTAAATTAGCAATGTAACTTTGATTGTATTTTAAAAAACATGTTCATTTACTTTAATAGTGACTTTAATATCTTTGTTTGAGTCGCTGTAACGTCTTTGTGCTCCACTGAAGATCTTGCAATCTTCATCGATTGACACTGTTGACTTTGGGAGTCTCTGCTGGTCGAGATCAATAAACTCTTCCAGCTTACGAGGTGATTCTACAAAAATAAATCTTCGGTTGCCCTGAAAAATATTATACAATGAAAAAAGGTATTATTATGCCAGGGATAATTCATTTAAAAGAATTAATGTGAAAAATTGCAAATAAGAATGACATGCTCTCAGATCCCTTGCACAAGCTTGGAAAATAGCAGGAGTGGATTTGGTGGTGGGAGGGGGCCAGCTAGAATAGTATTATCTCGATTGGCCCCACTTTCGGCCCCCTTTTGCACGTCTCTTGATCTGCCCCTGATGAGTATAACCCATAGTTATTAGAGGAAAGCAATGATTACATGTTAGTTGTAAACAGATTGTTACTTGGCATCACACTAGTTGGAAGAATTCAAAGATATTCATTGGCAGCATTAATTAATGCATTTAAACATCAGGCTTGTTTCTCTCAGGATTTCAGCATGACATGATTCACGATTTGTATGTGTTGTAGTTGATGACCCTCTAATCTATGTCATTCATCACCACTTTATTATGGGATGCAGCTTAGCTCAGTCAGCTAAAATGGTAGTAGCCACAGTGACTGCACTGAATCGTGGAAATCCCCGGTTTAATTCCCATCACTGTTCTCCTTATATTTCAGCTGGAGGGCTGAAATGCAAATTAGGATAGTGCACATCTTTCAGATTAGACATTGAAGCTGTTGGTCCTGTGTGCATTTAATGGCCCATGTGCATGTTAAAGAACACTCTTCGGAAAAGAGTAGGGGATTGCCTCCTGGTGTACTGTCTTATCACCCCCAGGACCCAACTAATAATAAGTGTTTGACTTTGTTTATACCGAATAAATCCATCCATCCATCCATCCATAGGTGTCAAAATCTTGTTCCTTCTTTTTTCTTTTAGTATAATACAGATTAACACCACATTATAGCAAAAAATACTACTCAACTTTCCAAGGGCTTTCTTCATTTGAAAATAAGAGCCAAAAACCTATAACTTGATAAGGTTAACTCATTAGGGGAAATGTGTTTTTAAAATCTTACTGAAGATGGTGTTAAAACATGGGTGTTACAGGTCACTCATGCTGTTGTGTTAAGATCGGATCATGCCAATCCACTCATTCTTCATCCTTTACCTGTTTTGAAAGAGCTGGGATAGGGCTAGTCAGCATGTTGTAAATACGGGTTGTCGAGCCAATCTCGCGAGCGTTGTGTTCAGATGTTGGATATTCAAAACTTTTCTGAACACAGTACATAACACATAGCAATTGGTTAAAAAATGACAACATTTACATACTGGAGGGAAGTTTAATGATGAAAATCACTATTAACATAATGATGTTTGTTTGAAGATACTTTCTAAATTTAGCAACTAAACTTGTAAAAAATAAAATTCAATACTTTAAGTAATTTTCAATTGAAGTAATTTATACAAATTTGATTGAGTTTAAAATTTTCAGTGTAATTAAAACAAGGAAAATATTGAGAATGATTTACCAAAAAATTGGAATGTATCCACTACATCTTCACTAAGTCCTCTAGTCCAGAAATGTGACATGAATCACACAAGTCAGATGTAATGTTGTTGGTCTATGAGTGAGATACTTAGGCGAGACTTTTTTTTATACCTTGTTTAGCGAACCCGCCGACTACAAATATTGATAATTTCAAATAAAAATAAAATTTTATTTTAGGCCAATTACTGCACCCGCCGCAAAGAAATAGTGAAAATTCCAGAAATAAATAAAAGTTTTTCTTTATTTTTATAACGCCCTCTGCTGCCTTGAAATGTCTAAAGGTAAGATATGTATATTTCTTTATACAGTATAACCCCTCATTTACGAACCCCGATTTTACGAATTCCCGATTTTACGAACATAATATAAAGGTGATGACGTCATAAAAATTGAAGCAAAAGATTAAAAAAAAAAAAACCCGCTCGAATTGTACCTGTTATTACCATGCATACAACACAACACACCATACTATACAGTACTATGTAATTCTCAAGTGAAGGAGGCCCTCTAACGGGCCTCTTCACATGTGCTTGCGACAAATTTTACTTCTCTTTCAAACATCGTTTTCAGCTTTAAAATTCAACATAGTGCTTGATTGTTTTATTGAATGATCAATATATATAATAAACAAGTGTCTATGGAAGTTGTTTTGGAATAAAATCCACGATCTAGGTATTTAAGAAGGTAAAAATGTCCGATAAAAACAAATTTGTGCAGGGCCTAGAGTGGGATCAGAATGCTTAGAAGCTGCCAACTGTAGGCCTAGGCCCCCTCAGACTTAGCTGCGTAAGCCTGTACAGTAGGCCTAGCCTAGGCCTAGTTGATGCCAGTGTAAGTAGTATCAGTGCAAATATATAGGAATTTGGGTCAACCCCGATTTTACGAATACCCAAATTTACAAACGGCTCTGGGCCCGTGCCGTACGTAAATGAGGGGTTCTACTGTAATTATATAAATTTGAAGCATTTAAACATTCTATTTTACATTCAGCAATAAAATTTTATTTTTGTTTTCTCCACCATCTGGGATGATTTTGGCAAAACAATTTGCTAAATAAGAAAACAAAATTTTATTTTTATTTCGCCCTCCTCCGATAATCTCAAAAAAAAAAATAAGTATGCGAAACAAGGAATAAAAAAAGTCTTGCCTTACCTGGTTGAACTGATATAAGCTGGATTCCTAATGGAACTTAGTTGTCGCAGGTAAGTTCCATTAGGAATCTGGCTTATATCGGTTCATCCAGGTAAGTATTCACAAAATAGACATCTGAATACAGATCAAATATTTATGCAAGTAATATTAAAATGAGACTTAAAATGATAAAATGGCTACCTTGAGACTTGGCGACAGAATCCTTTCATGACGTTTAATGTAGTCTCGTAAATAAGTGTTACAGTTGTAGATGTAGCCTTGGCAGAGGTTGTTGAAGATGCGTTCACCAAGCATTAACCAGCGATTTAACTGATTTTGCTGAAAGTAAAAAATGATCATTAGAATAATTGTACAAAACCTCCAAATGTGATTATGCAACAGGCACAGCCTTAAAGAAAGAGCTACAGCCTAGCCCTAGCGACCAAGTAGTATAGAGGGTGGACATGCCAAAAAAGAACTGTTCCTGCCTTAGAGGCAAAGTACAGGACCTGTCTTAGAAGCTTAGGTCTACTAAGCTACTACATGGCTGAATTTAGAGGCTGCTACTACAGGGCTGAGCTTAGAGGCTGATGAACAGTCCAAATGTTTATTTTGTTGTATTACCTTGAATCTGTTATCTGGTCCAAAGAAGGTGCAATCAATTACAACTTCCACTGGTCTCTTGTCATACTCCTTCAATGAGTTCATCACATGACACAACAGGTGATCAGGATCTACTTGACCCGACCTACAAACATCAAATTCATACAATTTGATAAATCAACAAATCAAACACTTCCAACATTTACTGTAATAATAATAATAATAGTGTGATTTTATATAGCGCACAAATCCATCTAATGTAAGATGCTCAGGGCGCTTGAAATGTGGACTAGGAACTTGATCAATGACAAATTTCTTCGCCCGTAAGGGTCCCTTCGTGTCTGTGCTACCCAGTAACCCGGTACCAGCAACGCTCGTCGTCCACCACACTGTAACACATAAAGGATGCATTCTCAAAATCAATGTACAATAAGAACACTGATCTTACTTGTATCTCCTTGCAATGTAATAAAACACTGGATTGCCTGCCATTGATGTACCGGCTTGGTAAAATATCTTCATCGTCCTTAATTTCTCTAGTTCTTGACTGTTACCACGTTTTGCCATTAATTCTCCCAGGTTAATACGACTAATATCACTACTGAAAAACACAACAACAAATAGAATGTTAGACCCCTCAAACATTTAATCTACTGTAGTTACAGTGTAAATAACTTTAATTTCTCTGTTCTATTTCCTGTAACACAAACATCTAAAGTTGAATAGATTGGTGGCTAGTTTAGTTTAGTTTATTTATTAGACCAACAAGGTCGGGGGCAGCTTAAACAAACAAATCACTATAACTTTTTCAAGTCAGCTGCACCCTCATACAATATACAATTCGGTAAAAAGACAAAATTAAAATTTTAAATATCAAAAGTGAAAAATTAAATATATATATATTTTTTGAAGATGCTTGCCTGCCTTCCCAGGTCCTGAGTTCAATTCCTGTCATGATAACAGGATTTTTTCTCACGACCAAAACAACTCCATTCCCTAAGCTTCATATTGAGACTTTGTTTATGTAGAGCATCTTGTGTTTATATTTGTCTTGTGAATGAATATGCCACTTAGAAAAATTAATATTAATAAAAATAATAAAATCTAAATGCATGTAATGAAAGATAACCTACTGTGTATCGATGGTTACTTTTCCATGTTCTGGAGGACCAAGGTAAGCTAATAGGGTAATGAGTTTGTCAAAGGGACGTCTACCAACAGCACGATGGTCCCTGCTGCTTGTTAAGAAGTCGCCCATCTTCTCCTGGTTCAGCCAAAGTAGTCGATGGAGTGAGTAGATGTTGACTTCGGTGATGTAAGATACTGTTGGGCTCATACAGCCTCCTGATTTACAATCAGAAGCAATCTTCATAAAGAACCTAGGAAAACATAATAAGTTAGCATTAAATACCACACTACCTTGCAAACACCATCTTGCAAGGCACAGTTACAAGAAAGAAGGAAAAGAGAAAGACAGGAGGAGATGGAAGGACATCATCTGTCAGTGGACAAGGCTGTCACTGCGCGAGGAGATTGTCAAGACATCATCATTACTGCCTCAATAACCCCACCAGAAATTATGAGATTGAATGAATGATGAATGAAATAAAGGAAAATGGCATATATCAGTTCATTAAAGTATTCATGACAAAAATACATTAAAATGTATAAATAGTTACAACAAATTTCAGATAAAGTGAGTAGTCAAAAGCCACGCATTGCTATATGTTTTCTGTTAGAAAATATTTAATCAGACTTTCTTAATAGTGCAAAATATACTTATAAACCTATCTGAAAAAAACATTTCTTTCATGTCTGCTTAAGGTCAGACAATTCTCAAACCAGTTCTAAAAGAAAATTGCACAGCCATGAATACTAGTATTCACAAAACAGATTTTCATAAAAACTTACTGTCTTCCTTCATCGAACTTCTCTTTGAGGAAGTCGTTGAATGGTAGCATGTACTGTTCCTTGAAGAGCACATGGTTGGCAATGTTCTGCAGGATCTTGGTCACCAGTTTGAGCCCTCGTTGTACCTTGGGAGGGGGCTTACGATCAACTATCCTATGCTCTACAGGGGACACTAAAACCAAAACAAAGATTTCACAATTTAGCAAAATAGAATTATTAAAAATCAGAGTTATTAAAAAGCTCTGTTACTTTTAAAAGGACAAAAACAATTTCGCTTAAATACTTAATTAAATAATATTTGTCAAAATAGACAATTATTAAATAGGGCACAACATCATATCCAGTTTTGCTTGGGTACGGACATTCATAACGAACAGATATCTGGAAAGTCACTTTTGCCTGTTTACAAAAAACAGCATAACATATATCTCACATACATACATACATACATACTATACATACACACGAAGGCTATCACAAAGGTTCCTTTGCTTGAAAACACGCACAAAAGAACACAAGGCAGGAACACCATGAAAGTGAACTAAATTACTGTCAAGTGGGGGCCCTTTACAAAAAAAAAACGCTTAAAATATAAAATTTTGCTTATAGATAAAACATCTAAAGTTAAATATTTAAAAAAATCTGTAGTAAAACAAGCATAATTTAAAAGTTAGGCATTTAATATTAAAAACTATTTAATTAATTAATTCAAAGGAGTGGCCAACTCAAATGTTGGTAGCCTTACCTATAGCCGGATTAATAAACCGTAGGAAAATGGCACTGCCAATAGCACTAATGGCATTTTGAGGGAATCGATGGAGGACAACTTGATAAAGACAGTGTGCCATACTACGAAGCTGGGAGGGAAAACTACAACAAAAACAGATGAATCAGTATTTATACTAATGCACAAAATACAATTCTGGTCTCCCTTTAATTAAAGACCCTCCAATTAAAGACCACCTCCAATTAAAGACCGCTTTCTGTGGTCTCAAATTTACAAATGTTTATTATCTTTATTATTTTAATTAGAGACCAAAGCTACTAAAGACCATAGAAATCCCAGTCTCAAAAGTGGTCTTCAACTGGAGGGAGATTTGTAATTACTTCCAGTTCACTAAAAGATTTTTACATGCATTACAGATGGTATTTTTATTGTGGTCAAAATAAGTTTAACTGCACAGTATTGTTGCAATATATGTTTTGTAAAGATTCTAATAGAAACCCTGTACTGTACGTATTATTAACCCATGCTCTAATAGTAACCCGGTGATGTTACTATTGAAATGACATAACTTCATACCCAATTATAGGCCTAAAAATAGTCAAATTTTGCTTTACAGACAATTTTTACTTTTTCTTTTTAAAAATCAATGTAAAACTGTATTGCATAAATTTAAGATTAATTTTGTAAATTATATGATGAAATAAGCATTGCAAAACTTAATAATTATTCAGATCAACAGGCCTAAGAAAAACTCTGACAAATTAATATTATTGCCCTTACCTATCAGCTGCACTAATTATAGTATCAAAGAACTTCTTGGCAACATGTAGAAGGTTTCTCTGATTGGATCGTAAATTTTCTCCTTCTTCTAACCTGAAATCAAGAAGATAAATTGTTAGTAGAGGCTATGAAAATGAATACAGTGGGAAAACAGTATGGTACTTACTTATCAATCAATCAATCAACTAAACAATCAATCAATGAAGATATGTTTTGCACCAATATCCAGAATGCAATATTCAGTAGCGCTATGACAATGGTATTACTCAAAGAGCACAATAACTACTAAGCTTAATTAACAATAGTAAAATAATTTTTTTTTTTAATTAAAAACAAAAAGATTTTAACATTTTTTTATCAGGCTAAAAATAAATTACCAAGCTAAATATCATTAATATAAAAATAAATAAACACTTATGAAATATTAAATACCTTGTGGGATCAACTTCGAATGAAGGGGGCATGCCGGGGGATTGGATATCCATAATAAGTGGTTCTAATATTTTATGCAGGTATCTGGCACCATACATCTTGAAGCAGAATGCCATAATCTTGCTGCAGAGACTGTTGCCTCTGAATAGGGTCTGCATGCAATCAGCTAAATCTACTTCTTTTGAGAAGAGGTTCCACAGCAACTGATACAGAAGGTGTTTTGCATCGAATAAAGTTACAAATACTCTGGCAAGTTCATCCTGAAAACAGAATAAAATGTCTGTTGTGAAAATTCCTTTAATTAATTATTTAACAAAATTAAATTCTGAGTTTACTAATAATCCACCCTTAATGACCCCAATGCTTACAAAAAGGGATGGGCTCTCTGTACATGTTTGATTGCCATTACCTTACCCCTTAATAGAGAAACAAATGATAAACAAATAATTACTGTATTGACATCTGCAGGTCTTCTCCAATTAAAGATCATTTTTCTGTGGTTCTAAACAAAATGTTTATCTTTATTATTCTAATTCAAGACCAAAGCTGCTCAAGACATTGGAAACACCCTGGTCCCATAAGTGGTCTTTAATTGGAGGGAGACGTGTATTTGCAATTCATTTTTGTTGCAAACGTTCAATTATTTTTAGGGATAAGTTATCCATACAATACAAAACATTCAAATGGTATAAAATAGATCTAGATTAGTTGCATCTATTAATATGGAGAAAACAAGCATTATTTACAATGTTTATGCCTGTACCGTTGAGTTACAAGTAACTTCCATGCTTGTACTTAAACAAGTACTTAAGTGTGTACTTAAGCACGTACCCATATATGGATTTAACCAGGCATTTGAGAAGATGCTTACCATTTGAGTGGAGGGTACAACATTAGCAAGGGCCATAGCAATAGGTAGTTCACCACTGTTACCCATCATGGTCACTAATCCAACAAGACGTTCAAATCGATCGCTTAGTACAGTCTCTGCAAGTGTGTCAAACTCTGTTCCCTGCTGTAATATTTGAGTCAATACTTCAAGAAACGCTGCCCTCGTCTGTACATCGCTATGGTAACCAAGCCCTGTCATATCAAATGTAAATTGAAGGTTATAGATTATCTAGAAAATATCTAGTACGCACACTTCTAAATAGGACTATAACTGTTAGGAAATATTTCTTGCTCAATACTACATATCTTCACAATGGTATTTCGTAAAATTACACATAATTCAAAAATTTGTTTCATTATCATTGATAAGAATAGTTTAGCGCAGCGGTTGTGGTTCTGCTTTGTCATCCTTGAGGTCAGAGGTTCAATCCCTCGCTGTGCATTTAGCTTGTGTCCTTAGATAAGGCACTTTACATACGATTATCTTTCTCCACCCAGGAGTGCAACTTAGTACTTAGTAGGTTTTAACACAAAATGCACCGAGTACTAGCTGCAACATAATGGAATTATCCCTATTTGTTAAACATCACTTCCTTGATCGCAACTTTTGATGCTGTGCAACCTATTCTACTAAATAAATAATACAACTAAATCCTAATATTGGAATTACGCTGAACTAATTTATCTTTCAAAGGGTCAGATTCATAGATAATTTAGGATTGGATTGGATTTATTAGGTGTAAACACCAAGACTTATTTCCAGTGGGGTCCTTCTGGTGGTGATTGGACAGTACACCGGGAGACAATCCCCTACTCTTTTCCGAAGAGTGTACTGCGTTCTTTAACATGCACATGGGCCATAAATGCACACGGGACCAACGGCTTAAACGTCTCCTCCGCAAGACAGTGCGCTATTGTAACTTGTATTTCAGCCCTCCAGCTGAAACACAAGGAGAGGCAGCGATGGGAATTGAACCGGGGACCTAGAGATCTCCACAGTTCAGCGGACCACCAGATTAGCCAACTGAGCTAACCTGCTCTCTTAAGCATATTATGAATAATGAAAAAAAATATGTACGTAGGTTGTGCTGAAACAAATAAAGTGTCTAAACTTACAAATGGAATGTGTAAGGCCGCACTCTATGTTAGCGCTTAGTAGATTGGATACGGCTGAGATGGTGTGGTTACGCAACGATACACTGCTTGCTATCTGACGATGACTTGTTTCTTTCGACTCGTCATGATCATCAATAAACTTCATGAACAGTTTTAAATATCTGAAGATTTCAAGATTTGATATGGTAAGGTTATAATCATGTTTTTACAATAGTTTTTTTTAAACAAGTATTTTTTTATTTACACAATCAAATGGTTCATCTATGACTGGTTATGATTTATTTTCTCATCACCAATAACGACTCCACTCAATAATCCTTATAACAAAACTTTTTAATAAATATAAAATAAAAATAAAGTATATAAAAATATCTTACTTTTGGAAGAGCTCTGACTTGGCTTCCATTAGGGTACCATTTTCACCCTCTTCGGTTTGCAGCGGGAGGCTCACAAGTAGACTGGCAATTGCCTCCATGGTAGCTTCTCCTAGTTCCCTGCAAAAGAAATCAAGATTTCAATAATTAGTAATTAATTATAAAAGAAATCAATACAATCAGTATCAAAGAGTTGTATAAAGAGCAAGAGAGTGTAATCCTGTTTGTAAATATGTCACTCTCCTAGTTACGATGGAAGTCGCCATCGTTGTCATGGATGGAGTGCCCCCTCTATGTATGAGTTTACAAGAAATGTGCCTACTTCAACAGTATGTTGATACAGAAAACAAAGCAATTCTACCATTGTCTACGAAAGTACCAGTATCATGTAAGAAACAGATAAACAAACTGTAGCACAGGGTAATAAAGAGCATACAAACAGCAGCAGGCGTCCTTCACTGGCTGTGTACGCTGTATTGTTTATGCTTCCAATGCACACTCTTGCACTTTACTCTTTGATAGTATTTTAATGTTAAATATAAAAAATGTCAATTTAGATTCAAAATATAACCGATATGAGCAATTTGTTACTTTTCAAAAGATAAAATAAATGAAATGAAATAAAATATTTATTCTTTCTTCTTCCTTACCTAAGTCTTGCCTTGTCATTTGACCTAGAAATACAGAGGATCCAGTCAGATAAGTGGTCCACAATCTTGTTTCGGAATTTTATCTCCTGACGGAATGTCAAACTATCTCTCCTATTCATCATCTATGGAAAATACAAAAACATTATATAAAAGTAATGTCAAGAGAATGAATTTCAGTTTTCTTTTAAAACTGTTAGAGAATTAGAGCTCTTAATAAAATTATTTCAATTCATATCACAATAATAAGAGTGAGGATGATAAATATTTAGTGGATCAAGATGAATTTTTTCAATGATGAAAAAGAGGACAATATTTATGATGACATTAATAATATTATATCAGGATTGACGATTTATCCAGCCTGATCTAGTCTGGTATCTTACCATTATACTAACAAGCTTCTGCTAGTGGCTAGGTTTGACTTAGATAATAACAATAATAAAGTCAACAGCAAGAATAAATAAATCAACCACTTACACTTTTGTAAAGATGACAGAGTTTTATTTTTAGCTTCAACATGTTTTCGTGGTGCATGCCTTGGTCTACCATCCGTACATATCTTATCAACAGAACCATCAAAATCTCAATGCTGACCATTCCAAGATGTTCGTTAGCTTCTTCTGATGGGTTCTCTAGGATGTTCTGTAGGACCACTATCAAGTCACCAACAAACATTGTGTTCGAGTCACTTGTAACTGGCTGTAAAATTTTTAAAAATGAATTTTTAAGAACCATAACATATACACTTTTTGAAAACAAAATATGATTTAGCATTGAATACTTTGTGCCCTCAGCTATTATTAATAATTGATTATTTATAAAGCGCCAATATTAAAACAGAAGTAAAAATCAAAGCTGCCTGGGCATGCTTCAATATGGTCTTAAAATTAGCACTTGAGGGTGATTTAGCAATATGTTTCGGGGGAAGAGTTCCAAAGATTGGCAGCTGAAAATAATAATGACCTATATACGTATAATTTGGTGTTGTTTAATAAGGAGATTGTTCAAAACTGTTACTTACCTGTCCTTTATTCCCTGTAA